TTGACTATTTACATATATTTACAAGTATTTTGAACAACTACAACGTATTTTATATATATTGAATGTTTTTTATATATACATTAAATCTAAAAACAACTAATATATATAGGTATATAAATCTCTTTCGGATATATTCGGGTACCCGAAATACTTCGGTTTGGGTCGGGTTTGGTTTCGGTTCTTTAAATACCAAAATTTTAAACCCATTCGGATATTGAATCAATTTCGGTTCGGATTCGATACTATTTTTTCGGATCGGGATCGGTTCGGTTCTTCGGATCCGGGTTTTTTGCCCAGCCCTAGTACAATCTGTAATTTTGATCTTTTTCTGCAAATGAGCCAAACGAAATTATAGCAATCAGAAGTGTTTGATATGGGCCAAAAGAAGAGACATTGTATCAACTATAAAAGAAATAGAAATCAAGAACGGCAATGTTGCTTTATGGTTCTTCACCTAAACAAATAAAACATAGCATGTCGATCATCACTTTCGCATTCAATAATAGGATGTTGGACTAGGATGTCTTTTTTTTAAATACCATATTATATATAATAATCTGTCCGCTAAATCGGCGATCAGATATGGTTACAACTTTGAAAAATTAATTATACCACAAATTAATTACAGCTTTGAAAAATTATTTTCTACCTGCTTACTAATATATTGGTCAAATGAAAATAGTGATAATAATACCACAAATGGATATGATTTATTTTAGGGATAATTTGAAAAATACTCTAGTTGTGATTTAAATTTTGAACAATGCATTTGTGTTTTTACTTTTTGAAAATTACTCTTTCTTATATGTGATAAGACAATTCAAATGAAATTAAAAAGTTAAAAAATCAAATTCAAAATTATTATTAATACTCGTCTGTAAAAAAGATGCTCCATAATTTATTTATTAACTCAATCAGTGACATATTTGGTAGTTCATAGTGTGTTTTGTTCTTAGAGTTCAAACACACATCATTTACAGATTACTTTTGCTTATAAAAATGTTATATTTGTCATGTGTAAAAAACATGTGACACAAGAAACATTTGATTCCTCCGGATAATCTCATGCTATGACGATGAGATGTATTTCATCAAAACATACATTGAATTCTGCTGTTTTTAAGCTTTTGAAGTTAGTTTCACCAACTCAGCAATCTCGAAAGACATGATGTAAAGTTGTCTAACTTACATTTGTCACTAGAAATACTCACATGTAAACTAACCATCATAATTTTTTGTCTGCAGGTTTGAAAAGTACCAACTTCGTGTACTGATTTGCGAAATATAAAAAGTGAATCTGAGTTTAACTGAAATCCTATGTATATACTCCACAAAAGCCTATGTATATACTCCACAAGATATCTATTTTATTCATGAACCATTGACCTTTTCCAGTAATATTTACACATCATAATCATTAGATTGGTAATCTTGAAAAAATAGAGAAGTTCCGTGATTTGCAGAAAAATAGAAAACAACATATGTGTGGTGGTGATATTAGTCTATGAGTATATTAGATTAGATATTATAGTTGATTTTTTGTTGTTGATTTTGTTACTAACTATATTTTCAAACGCTTAATTCAAAATTTTATTTATGGATTCACTGAAATTATTAATTGAAATATTAAAATAACTATAGACATTTAAATTGGATAGTTTAGTAATTTTGCTTATAGATAAAGGTATTTATCCAAAAACATAAAAAAAAATTGTAGTTTTCAAAATATAATCTTACCTTAAGATATTTTTCCAAATTTCCCCTTTATTTTATATATTTGAAAAATTAATTATATGATTCTAATAAATGTTGGGATTCTTCCATGCAAATATTTGAAATAACGTAGTTTTTTTTCTGGAAATTTTCAATAATATCATGTAATTTTAAGTAATGACACATTGGTTGATAAAATGCAATAATTAATTACAATAGATAACGAAAAATAATATATTCGTATCATTTGTCAAGATGTTAACATATTTTTAAATTTATAATGGAAAATATATTGTCAAAATCTATCATATTATACTGATTAATAACATTGAAGCAAATATCTGATAGATAAAAGATATAAATAATTATTTCAAATCTCAGCAATACATTATACATGAAAAATCTTTTAACAATTGTTCTAAAAAAATAATACTATTTGAATTCTGACTATGGATTTTTTGTATTCAAATATTGTGATTATCCTACGTAGCTAGATATTCACATAGTAATATACAATTAGTTCAATTACAATTATTTTTTGTTAGTCAATTTTTTATTCAATTTTTTTTCTTCACATCAAAAGATTAGGCAAAGTTCATAATAAAATTTAAAGGAATTAATATCTATAAATTTAATTTAAATTGTTTTAAAATCGAAAATATTGGAATCATACAAATGTATTAAAATCTTTATCAAATCCTTTGAATACTTTAGAATCAATTAAGTTCTTTAATCAAATGGCCACCTCAACTCAACTAAATTGAAATTTACCCAAAATGTGATTCACGTGATGTAAAAAAATGAGTAGAAAAAAAAATAAGACCCTGTTCGTGAACGTTTTAGACATTATTCGGGTGGCATAGTTAGACTTAGTGCATAAAGAAAAAATCGAGGATTAAACGGAAAATATACAAAATAATATTTTAGATGATTTAATATGTTAATTTTTAATTATATAATATTAATTCATTTTCATGCTTAAAACTTTATAAAATACACAAATAAAATATATAAATTTAATATGATATAATTTTCATCAAAATTGTGATTATTAGTTATATTTATTAAATGTGAAAACAAATAAATATATAAAAATATTAATGAAAATAGATTAGGTGGTTAGACGGTCATCTAGCCGGCGTAGCCAAAATAAAATCAAGAGACCAGTTTTTTACAACATTTTGGTTCAGAATGAATAGCCGTATAGGACATGATTAACTTCGGTCTTTTAACCGGGGTTCTTAAATCATAATTTGACATTTTTTATTTTATTTATTTGTTTTATATTTTTCGATTAAGAGACGACTCTTATATCTTTTATTTAATAAATGATTTTTAGTTTTTCTTAGTTAAAATATAAAAAAAAAAACTAAAAACCGTCTCTTAATCAAAACTAAAAATTTCAATTAAAAAACTTGAGTTAATCATGGTTTTAGCATTTAGGTGATTTGGTTTTAAAATACATCTTTTAAAACAGGGGAGGGGGTGTAGATAATAGATACATCTTTTTGAGAAATGCAGTATTTTGTTTTTTTTTTTGAAACAAACGGCTGATCTATTATTTAAGCTTGAGGTGGTCTGAGAATCTAGACCGGAATAGAACAACCAACAAACATTAGATCGCGATAAAAAGATCGTGCAGTCTTAGCTAAGAAATCGAACACAACATTTTGGGACTTAGACACATAAAATAACTTGAAATTTGGTAAGAAGATCCGCAGCGTCAAGAGCTTCTCCAGTTCTGTCGAAAAATTGGCCATTTATGGGGGTGTGTGAGCATCGCTATCAACTCCTGATTGCTAGCATCTATGTTTCTTTGTGATGGCATAATTTCTTGCTCATTAGCTTGGAACCAGGCAAGACACTCACTCTCCGTATATCGGGTTAACTCCCGAAGATCTCTATCATTTCCTCGGAACAACTTATCGTTCCAAGCCTTCCAAATGTACCATATTAGCCAAGGATAAGGATCATTGACTATTTCTGGCTCCATTATACATTTTTCCTCCAAAATAGATAATTTATATTCGTATATGTGCTTTTCAGTGGGAAAAAAGTTGAGCTGGTTGATACAGATGCCAAAGCATACACCTAGAAATACAGTATTTTGTTTAAATTTATTATGTTGGACAAATACTATGCATGTGATGGTGACTGATTCGACTACTACGAACTTATAAACTGCCAATTTTGTACAATCTTGCTCATGGTCCAATTCCCGCTGGACTACTTCTCTCATGATTAAATGTACCCTTCAGACATATATATATCCTCCTGGATTATTAAGAAAATTAAATTTTACAAACGAAAACCAAATTGTTGAAGAATTAATACAAAGAGAATAATATCGTTTAAATCATCAATTTTTTAATTTGACAAAAATAAAGTATCAAGTTTACGTTTGCCAAAAACTCAATTTTTATTGACAAACAAATTTAATTAAAAACTTTTATTTACCATATTTTGTAATTATATCTTTAGTCAAAAATGATAGATCAATAGAAAGCCCAAAATATGTCTTAAAGTTGTTATTTTTAGAAGAAAAAAATATTTTAGATGATAAATATTGAGGAAAAAATATTTGCAAGAACTATAACACTAATAATTAAAATTAGAAATAAGAAATAATTCCAACCAAAACTATAAATGTTTTCATTTTCTCAAAATAAAAATTTCTAAAATTTTCATT